GTCGAATTTTAAAATTGTGTAACAATGAAAAATCATTTTTTTATTTAATGATAAAATCACACACACACACACAAACACAAACACAAACACACGTGTGTGTGTGTGTGTGTTATTCTTCATTATTCATCTACCCTTTTGATTTCAGAGTTTCAGGAAGGCTCCAAGCAAAGAGGATAGAGCTTCTTATCTTCTTCTTACAGGAGCAGATGTGAAACTTAACCGTGACAGTGATGAAGTACTGCTTGATGTCAACCAATTTCCACTTGTTGATTTTCACAATTGTGAAAGGTTTCACCAAGGAGTGCCAATCCAGGTCTTCTTCACAATTTATTTCCTTTGACCTAAGCAGGAAAAACAAGCTATTTTATTTTCTTTTTTGGAGGCTGGGGGATCCTCCATCATCTTAGGCAGAGCCAAATATTCGCTATTTTTTGGCTTTGGGGTATGATGGGATAAAGCAAAATGGGTCTTTAAACAGTGTGCTTCTATCAATGGTGAAGTAAAAGTTAGTCGATGCAACTTATGACCCTCATCGTGGGTCATTTGGAAACAACCGCTCTATGTTTTAAGCATAGGGGTCAGGTTGCATACATCCAACCCCCCTTACTCCGCAATGGGTGGGAGCCTTTGAGGCACTACAATTTCTTCCCTTTGAGTGTAATAACTGATTGTTGAATGAGGCTACAACAGTATTATTGATATGTAAGCTATATATTCATACTTAAGGGATGGAATTGGATTGTCTTATAATTGTTATTTCACTTTCACGCTCAATCAGGAACATCAGGATACGGTGGATTTCATATTGATATGCCGGCAGCAGCGACAGAGTGATGATACTTCTGGACAGAAATCTGTGAATGTTTTCACTCACCATGTTTCTCATTGCAGGCATGTTTTGGACTATCCCATATCCTGTAATATTCCTGACGGGGGTGGGGGGTGGGGGGTGAGGGGTGCGGGGGTGATTATTTTCCATTATATTCTAGTTTTTAGAATCTAGTTAACCTTTCGTGCATTATGTAGAGTGAGAACCACAAGCCCAATATGGTGGCTGCTCGATGGCCCATCGACAGTCACACACGATTTCACATCGGCTTTTCTCTGTGAAATAAAATTGAAGATGACTGTCAATAACTCCTCAGATACCCATCATGTCTCCGTGCAAGTTGGTCTCGCAGATTCTTCAGCTATTCCTGAGACAGCAAGCAGTAGTGATGAAGTGGGCTGGCATGAGTTGAGAACAGACCTAGAGACTCCGCGAACTGCCTTTAAGACTAATGCTGATGTTGCTATGCCTTTCATCTGGTCCGGTTCAAGTGGGACCCATTTCAGTCTTGGCCCGTCATCTTCTACCGAACTCCCTCTTCAAATCACCGTCTTTTCTCCAGGGACATATGATCTGTCCAACTACTTGCTGCACTGGAGGATGATCTCATCTTCTTCCCAAGAAGATTTATCCAGACCAGTCTCCGGGACGTGCAAAGGGCATCCGTACTTTATAACGGTGCTGCCACAACAAGATTAATTCCACTCAGCTGTTGTGCTCTTCCTTTTCTCCCTCCAGTGGCAGATGAGAAATTTTGTGCATCCTAAATTTCTTTAGAAGGAACCATTCCTTTGGCCAAAGAAGGGAACCTCTCTGTTGTACTATAATTTTCATCCTTTTTTTTATATATTTTTTCTATTTGTATCTCAATTATTTCCTTAAGATTCAATGTTTATTGAATTCGGGTTGATGAGATAAATCAAATCAATTATACTATTTTTTCAACGGTGTTTCCCGCCTAATCCATCTTGTATAAAATGCGGCAATTTGACGGTCAGTTTTAAAGATGATGGAAATAGACTTGGTAGGAGGGAGAAATGACGAATCTAGAGAGAGAGAGAGAGAGATTGTGTGTGTACTGTGTAGTATGTTGATATGCTATGTAAATGCTTTGATCCCCTTGCTTACAAGTTACAAGCCAGGGTTGTTATTTGAAGACAAAGAAATGGGTTACTGCGTGCAAGGGGTGAGTTTAGTTTTGGTGGTTCCCTTACTAAAAATTAGAAACAAAATGGACGTAAGGTAAATTAGTGGTTCGGTTTGATTTCACACCAAAATTATGTAAATCATTGGTTATTCAGTTTGGTTTTATGTATTTCGTAGTTTTTATTTCAATTTTTAAAAATAAAAACTATAAGCATTTTTTTTGCGAAAAAAAACAAATAAAAAACATCTTTAATTATAACTGCAATCAGATCAAATCAGATCAGGCGAATGAAACGTAGTCTGAATCTTTTTCTTTTGTGAAAAAAAGGCTCAATCTTTCTTCAACTCTTCAAATAATGTAACAAAGTAACTATCAAATTGAGTAACTGAACCTTATAAATGCAATAAAAAGTACTCCCTCCGTCCGGATTTTAAGTTTTCACTCTACGCTTTTCTTCGTCCGAAAATAAAGTTCCCATTCTACATTTTCATACTTACTCTTCCTAAAATACCCCTTCTTCTCTTCCTTTCTTTCTTCCTCTTTTCTTTTTTCTTCTCCCCCCCTTCGCAGACCCCTCCCTTTCTTTTTCTTCTTTCTCTCGTTCTTTCTCTCTTCCCCCTCCCCCTTCTATTTTTCTTCTCCCAATTATCTTCTTCTTCATTTCTTCCTCCTCTCCTTTTCCTTCTTTCTCCCTTTCTTTTCTCAGCATAATCACGCCATCAAGTTCTCTCACTCCCCCCTCTTTTTCTTCTTTTTCTTCTTTCTCTCCTTTCCTTTCTCGATCTGGCCATCATTTTCTCTCTCCATTCCCCTCCCTTTTCTTATTCTTCTTCTTTCCGAT